GGTGCCCAGCTCCCTTTGGTGATATTTAGCTGGCGTTTTCTTCAAAATCAGTCTCGGTTCAAGTGGCTTAAAAATGCATTTTTCCCTAGGGACAGCCACCCACAAAAGCCTTTCATTAAGATGTAGTGGGTTGATGCAGCTGGAGTCCCAGCGGTAAAGGGAAGGTAAGTGGGAAGGGATGCCGGCCGCATCCTCGCCCCGCGCTCCTCTGCTGGGCAAAGGCGCCTTACGGCTTCCCAAAATGGGTGATTTTTGTCCTACTTTTGCAAAATTTGATTTGTTTGCTTTTTTTCACTGAATCTTTGGGCATAAATCTGTAAAACTTTTATTTTATTTTGTGTATCGTGGATGCTGCGCCTCTTCGTTGTGAGTAGCTTCTTGGGGGATGAAGAGGAGGAACGGGGAGCTGGATGAAGAGGAGGAACGGGGAGCTAGATGAAGAGGAGGAACGGGGAGCTAGATGAAGAGGGGGAACGGGGAGCTGGATGAAGAGGGGGAACGGGGAGCTGGATGAAGAAGAGGAACGGGGAGCTGGATGAAGAAGAGGAACGGGGAGCTGGATGAAGAGGGGGAATGGGGAGCTGGATGAAGAGGAGGGAGGTTTGGAGTGTCCTGGGAGCAGCAGCAGTGGGGGGGGTTGGTGCGGGGATGCTTGGGAGTGCAGCAGCAGGGCAGGGCTGGGTTGGGACTGCAGCCAGTCCCACAGATCCTGGCCACAAGGAACCCTCCTTGCAGGGAGTGGCGGGTGCAAGCTCACGCCGTGCCCCTGCCAGCGCTCTTGAGCTAAAAACATGCATTTTCCTGTGTTGGTGGTGATGCACTTCCATGAAGTCAAGAGGACCCCGGTGCCTGATGCAGAAGCAAGCTTCTTAAAGGGAAATTATTTATGCCATTGGCAGCAATGTGCTAATAATACTTTTCATCCGAGGATATCAAGTTGCTTTACAGATATTCTGTCTTCTGATGCCTCTGAGAAGTGGGGGAAGTGTGGTTAATTCGGTTGTACAGGTGAGGACACCATGCCTCAGCTCTGCCCCTGCCCCAAGCGCAGCCTGGCTCCTCTCCTGTGCCTCACCGGGATGCGCTTTTCCTTAAAAGTCGGTAACTTGACAGTTGTGGTGGGAACCCACCCTCCAGGATTGCGATGGCTGGGGACTGAAGTCCCATGAGCCACTGATGACACCACCCAGTTCCCCAGCATCCTTCCCGGAGGAGGCAGGTGAATTTGCCCTAGCTCTCATAGTAAGGGATAATGTCCGGGATGTGCCTGGAGGGCACCCGGCTCCGTGAGGCCAAGCCTTTCCGCTGGGCGGCATTGCCGGCAGCTGAATGGGATCTGGAGCTTTTTCCGTGGGACCAATGCGGGTGGGTGCCGGTGCCGGCAGTGGGTGCCGCAGCAGGCGTGGGAGCACCGCGGGGCAGCTCCCGGCTCCGAGGGCTCTTCCACGTTTCAGTAAAAAACAGAGCGGAGCAAAACAGCCCGTGCTACCTCGGCATGGTTTCGGTAGGTTATGAGCAGAAATCATCTGTTTCTCCTGGACTGGGAGCTGCTGGCTGCACGTACCCCAAGACGCCTCTTTTCTCGTTAAACCTGGGGGGTTGGCAGTTCCCAGCCCCGGGGACACTTTCCCTCCCGCTGGAGCACCAACCTCCAGCTTGCCCAGCTCCAGCAGAAGTTCACGTTCAAGCTGATTCTTCAAATTTGCCTCCTTTGCTGGAGATCGGCTTTCCCGGCTGCCCGGGAGGAAAAGGCTCCCGTTGTTTCTTCAAAGGCCAAGGTTAAACGAGCGGCTGCAGCCCAGCATGGTGGTAAATGCGGGGATTTAGGGGTTGGGGAGATGAGCCTGTGCCCCCTGCCCCAGGGGCTGGAGCCAGGGCTGCTGCTGGGGTCCGTCGCCAGGGCTGGGGCTTGGATGTGCGAGTTCCCCTCTTAAAACGGAGTCATCCCCGCTGCACATGCCTATAAGCCCCTTTGATTTTTCTTCTTAAAAATAATTGGGTTTGTGCGTGTGGGTTTGGGTTTTTTTTTTTTTTTAAAAAAAAAGATTTTTAACTGAGAGACAGCAAATTTAGTATTTTCTGTGTCTTGGATGTGTTGTGATTTACATTTGATTTTAGGCATAATTAGAAATGCAAGTAGAGCGCTTTGTGTTTTACCTCTGCTTCAACTATTTATGGCATGATATGCAAATGAAGCAAGCTATGAATATTAAAGATTAGAGTATGTTACAAAGTATCACTGTCTTTAATGAGTTCGGTAATGGGCACAGGCTTTGCACACACTTTAATATGGAGGTATTTTATGTTGTGTGCCGGCTCGGCGGCTCTGCAGCTATCGATGCCGTGTTCGGTTACATCCCAGGAGAGCGGGGCTGTGATTTAAACCCTCTCGAGCCCCGGATCGGCTGCAGTAGGTAGGTGCGATTCCCAAACGCGCCCGTGACAAAGGCGGCTGCGGCTGGCGAAGGGTGTTGATGGATTATTTCACAGAGACTGTTTCAGTTCTCGTCTAGGTCAATCCGTTTCATCTGCTGCAGCGTTGTAGATGGATCTGAGAATATGAAAGCGCTCGTCGACCTTTCAAGGTGCTTTGCAGCACTGGGAGGGAATCTTAAACACGCTCCTGCCAAAATGGAGCTGCTGCCTGTAACATCACATAGACCCCAAGAAATTAATTTTGCCGTTCCTCACCCATTAGACTTATTGACAGAGAATTATTTTGGGGTTTATCGACACCTCCGAAGGCGTTTGAAGGAACATCTTAGCTACTGGATGGCAGAGGGTTGGGAAGCAGGGCTCCTCGCGTTAACCCTTTCTCGCCGCAGGAGGCTGGGCAGCCCGGTTAGCGCGGTTTTATCTCTCAACCAGTAAACGGTTTTATCTCTCAACCAGCATCATAGTTATAAAAGAGGAAGGTAACGGTGGTTTGGGGCGCTGCAGTGCATACAGAGATTTCATCCCCGGGTAATCTGAAGAACAAACTTCTGCTTGAGCGCCGGGGTCCCTGCGGGATGCAGCGGATGCTGCGGGATGATGCCGGGGAGGTGGGGGAAAAAGCAAGCCCGATACGGAAAAGCGATGGATTTAATGCCAAATGGGGCTTGGGGAGGGTGGGCGGCAGGGAGGGAGAATGAAGCATGCCCCAGGGAGTGTGCTTTTCAGATTTGAGGTATTTAAATTACAAATTTTGATGAGGAAGATTGTCAGCAGTATTCAAAACAGTGCTTAAATTCTTTTGAAACACTGTCGAGCTGTGCTGTGGCAGTTGAAAAGTTTGGCACACAGGAACTTGGCCCAGAAGTTGCTGCTTGGGTTGGTTTTTTTTTTTTTCCTTTAAAACTCAATTCATCTGTATTCAAGTATCCCACATGCTTAAGAAAAAAAAACCCACCAGACTCGCACTGGTTTGAGACGGACCCTTGTGTGCGGGGGAAGCTGCAGAAGTGATCGATCTCTAATACCGGGGGGTTCCGTGTCGGTTAATGAGCGTTAATAACTATTTATACATGTCTATTTAAAAAAAATAATAATTTTATAGTGCTTGTGTCTACTGATAAAAACAACCAGCAAGCTAAACTGGGATTTAGAATATGCTAGCACTGGATTATTAGTCCGTGGGCATTAGCTGGCCCTGCTTTTTCCGATGGGTTGATCGGTGTTGGGTGGCGTGGGGGCAGCTCGGCGTTTGCAGCCCGCGCCTGCAGCACGTTGTGAACGTTGGGGAGGCTTTTTTATCGCCCAGCTCTGCCCCTCCTCCTCTGCTGCATGAGGCTTGGATCTCTGTGAGCCCCCCAAATTTCAGCAGCGTACCTTGCGCTTTAGCTGAGCGGTGCATCGGCGCGGCTGGCCTGGGGACGTCGGCTGTTCAGCGGCGGCACAGCAGCACAAAACTCGTGAGGTGTTGGCGTTGGCTCTGAAGATGTACTTGACCATATATTATATATATGTATAAACTTAATAATATAGTATATAATATAATATATTGATCATATATAATATATATTATGAGTATAATACAATCTTCTGGGCTATAGAGTTGTCTGGGGGTGTTTTAGGGTGCATTACAGAAATAGTCACATTCTGAAGCTTTGGGCAAAATTTGCTGGACCGGTGAAGGGTTTTGCTGCAGAGAAGTCAGAAATGAAAAGTCGGTGTTGAGTCTCGTATGCATCCCTGCCTCGATGCTGCGATCCTGGGGTGGGAGCTGAGTCTACAGGAGACGGGGCGGGAGAGAATTCTTTGCTGATGTGTGAGCAATAAATGCAACATATGAAGAACGCGGGTCTTCTGCTTTGCCCCCATCAGCCTGGGGAAGGCGGGCGTCAGGTTGAGGTGACCACCTCAAGTCACAAATTTTAGGTTTCTCAGGGTTTTTGCTCAATGACCACAAGCGTCAGCTTTGAAAACCGCCCTGTGCAATCTGGTGTTTGCTGGGAGCACAGAGTTAAATTTCTGCAGTATATAACTTTCCTTTCCTGCAAGCTTATGTTTCCATTAAGGATCAAGCTCCGATGCAATTGTAGCTTTGCTTTATAGAGTATTAAAAGTTTAATGTATAAATGTCTTCCTTCGCCAGAACTTTTGGGCAGTATTGTTTTCCGGCGCTGAAATTTCTATACAAAAACCACAGCGATCCCGGTAGCTGCAAGGGCTCAGCTGCCCTTGAAGGGTTAATTGTATTATGCCTACTATTTTTTCCTCTTAAAGCAGGGAGAATAAGCTGTAGCCAAAAGTAAAAGTCATTAATTTTAAGACAAGAGATGTAAGCAAAGTTTCCTTCCCCTCTGCAGGTTGGTCAGGGTAGGCTATGCAGTAATTGAAAAGTAAAGGCAATTGAATTACAGGCTCCTGTCCAAACGGAGCGCGATTTCTTCTTTTTTTTTTTTTTTTTTTTTTTTTTTACAACCTCCATTGCATCAGAACTAGGCAGTATTCCTGATGTTCTCATGTGTGTTAATGCTGACTCACAGACTAACTTGCACAAGAAAAAAAAACACACAGGCAGCTCCACCATACTAGGTAATGAGCTCTAGCAAGAAGCAGCGTCTGATGTTTTGTAAGCTTTTTTTAATTGACCTTTTAAGCTATTTACTTTATTTTAAGGCTTTCTGTTCCGTAGGGGCATGATGGTAGGATTGAGTCATGCATGTTATATATTGCTAGCTCTGCTGTTGTGTACTAGGAGTGAGGAGAATACAATTCAGCACGGCACTTGGCTTTTTGATGTGTTACGGATGTGAATTAATGTTTGCGATGGGATGCAGGCAATGCCCGCTCTGCGGAAGGCATGGGAATGGGGTGCTGGATGCTTTCTGGCGGACGTTAACTTAGTCGGGGTCTTGAGCTTTTATTAGATTGCAAAAAATTAAATTCTGCAGAATAATTGTGTTTTGTATCCATGTCTCTCCCTTACCCTTTTCCTTGCAGCAATCTGCAAAAATAATTAAAATGTTGCTTTTTCTATTTTTTCTTCTCCTTGCTTTGAGAGCTCTTAAAATCAGTGATAGATAAGGGGGGTGTGAACTGACTTAAAAAATAATGGCAATAACATGCTTCGCCTTGGCTGAATGACTGCACTTTTTGGAGGCAGCAGCCTGCCGGGTGGGTGACCTCGAGCGGCGGTGTTGCACCCCGGCTGCCGGTGACTCACCTTGCAGCAGGACGGAGCCCGGGGAGCTGTGCCGGGGTCCCCCGGGATTGCTCCCGGGGCTCTGCGGGGTCCCTGGGGCAGAGCTCCCACCGCCCCATCCCCGGGCTGTGCCCGGCTGGGCTGGATCATCAGCATTTATTTAATTCACTTTCCCATCTTTTCCCCCATTCCCTCGCCCCAGCCTCCAGGGTCTTTACTTTCTGTGCGAACTTTTAGGGTTACAAAGCCAAGGGAGCTCCGTGCCGCATGTCTGCTGCGTGTGCCTTGCTTCTGTGCTGCCGAGTAATATTTGCAAATTCAGTCTCTGCTATCTTAATAAGGCAAAAATAATCTCCTTTCACCCGTTGCCACTGGCTGCCGCACTGAAAATAGGGTACGTTAGCACCGCTCGCTGCTTGCCACTTGCAGCGTTTTAAAAATAAATACTTTGGAGCTGCAGAAACAAATGCTGCAGAAGAGAAGGGGAGTCTCGGCATGACTGTCATTTGATTACCAAACTTAACCTTGTTTTCTTTCCCCTGCCAAAGACGGGCATTGAACTGTGCAGGCAGTCGCGGCGTTTCACGGTTGTGCCCCAGCCCCTCTCCTTTCCCCTCCCCGGGTTTTCTCGCCCCGAACCCCACCACGGGCTCGCTTTTGGGGAGGGGGGTGCAAAGGCTTTGCTCTTTTACCTCTCAGTTCCCTGGCACAGCAAGCTGCGGCGCGTGGAGGGTCTGGACGCTGTGGAGCTGAAGTGCCTTTTATTTGACTTTATTTAACTATTGGTTTTATTTAAGGCGTTACAGCAGCTGCGTGCTCGGGGAATGGTCCTTCGCCACCGAGTTTTGCAGTTAGCTGTTGCGTATTTTCCTTCGGGCTTATGTCAAAAGTGCATTTCCTTTTCATTAAAGGTGTCCCCCTGCCAGCCTCAAATCCAAGGGTGGGATTTCCCCCCTCTCTCCTCATTTACAGAAGAAAGGGAAGTTTCCTTTGACCCTTTGGGGCCTTCAAGGGCAGGACTTTTCAGCTCTTTTCTTTTGAGGGGCTTTGGCTGGGGGGGGTGGAAGCCCTTGGCCGCTTTGTCTCCCACCCGGAGGGTCCCGCTGCCTTTGTCCCTGCCCCAGCTGCTGCCCAGTGCACCTTCCTGCGGGAAACTGGGGGCTTTGGGGGGGCTTGGGGCGGCTTTTTTGGGCAGGGGCGGGAGGTGAAGTCTCCAAGTCTCTTTGTATGTTGGCTAAGGAAAAAGAATTTAAATACATTATCTAAATGATTTCTGATTACTCCTAGGGGAGCTCTGATGCCAGCGTCTTATTCTAGGTCGATGCTTTTTTTCTTTTGCTGTTGTCGCCTCGCCCCGACCTTTCAGGCCTGGGAGCAGGAAAATAGTTTAGAAAAGAGCAAACCTGTTTGGGTTTGGTTTTTTTTTTTCCCAAAGCATGTGAACGCAGAAACCGAGAATTCTCAAACTCTCGTGGAAGTTGTATCAAATAACAGCTGCATTTTTTATGAACAGCTTGTGACAAAGGCTATGACTTTACAAAAATCATGCAGACCTGCACAAAGTGTCCTGCTATATCCGAGAGCTGGGAAGGAGAGGCTGCCATTAGGAGACAAAATGATGTTTTGCTTGAATGGTCACATATCTTAAATGATCGGCGGGGGCTGGCTGGTTTTAATCCAGTTTAGTCTAAGTTTTCCTCTTTGGTAGGAGGTGTCCATCTGAGGATGTGTCACACGTGGCAGCCCAAAAGGGACTGGATTTTTTGGGGGGTGATGATGGCGCTGGGGGCTCCTCCTGCACCCTGGGGCACAGCTCATCTTGGGAGACGAGATTGCAAAATGCAGTTTCCATCTGTAATTGCTAAGGGCGCTTTTCCTGCAGCACCGTTCTTCCCCTGTCAAATGGACTGAAGCCATTTCAAACCATTGAAAAGTACCTTGATGATCTATTAAAAAAAAATAAAAATAAAAGCATACTTAGTAGAGGAGATTTTTAAGTTAGACATTATCATGTGTTACCGCATTTACTGTCTAATCACAGTAATATTGTGTTGCTGTTGGTTTTAGGGGATGTGAGGTCTCGTGGTGAGCAGGTTCTCCTTGGCTTTCAAGACTGCCACCTTTTATTTCTTGGATTTGGGGGGGGGGATGTTGGCTTGTTGGTGGGTTTGTTGTTTTGGTGTTTTTTTTTTTCTATAGTCTGGTCATAAAAAGGCAGGGGCAAAGGGGGGACGAAAAACCAAAAATCCAGCAGCCCTGGCCTATAGTTCATTGAAGTGGCTTGGACTTTTGCACCTCGCTGGTACGGCTTTGCTCATGTTCCTTGGTGCTGTTGCTCCACCAGACACAGATACTTTTTTCACCATTTCCCTGTGAGCACATTTCAAGGCCTTTTTTTTTCCCGGAGGACGGGAGGTTAGACCATCACCGAGTCCTACCAGCAAGCTCGCTCGCTCGCTCAGCCACTTGGTGACCAGCAGCTACGAAATCTGCTGGATTCAGAGAAAAGGCCACCGGGAGCTGGAGTGATGCGATTTTGGGGTGGGATCCCTTTGGGGTGCGCGGGCCAGGCTGCGGTCTTGTGGAAGGTCATACCCTGGGGGGATCAGTTAGGTGGAGCATCTTGGTTCAAACTCTGATGTCTTACGGGAGGTTTTAAATGGAATTTGCCAATAATTTGGCGCTCTGGTGCTTCTCACCGGCATAAATGTATCCTGAACCGGCACAATTTTGGTGTTTTTAGAGAGCCATGGGTTCCCCCTGGCATGCCTGGCTTGGTTATAGAGCAGATTCTAAGCAATAGTAATAATTGAGACCTATTTTAAGTTTCTTCTGCACTACCAAGCTGTCCTCAGCTGGTCCCACTCATCCTGCCCTGTTGGGTTTCTCCAAGGCAGGGGTTGTGAGTGGGTCCAAGGAGGTCCCAACTGGCGCCTGCCTGGTCCCTCCAGCTCTAAGGGAGCTCTTGCCGGAAGAAAAGAGGAGGAGATAGTTCTCCACTCATGGTCTGCATCACCATGGACCAAGTTTCCTTCAGGTGCCTCAGTGGCTCAGTTTTGTTTCAGTAAAGCACATTATTTTTCAGTAGTTTTCAGGGATCCAGAGTGGATCTGCTTTTGCCAGAGCAGACTCTTTTCCTTCTCCAGCGGAGGTTGGTGGTGTCATGGTTGGAAGAGGTCTTGGGCTCTTGGGCTTGGCTGTCGTGGTGTCTTCTCTTGACCTCCTCACAGGACGTCACCTTGGTCCCCTCTCGGTGCCTCAGCCTCCTCACCAACACCAGGCAGAGATCCCATTGACCTCACACGGGTTGGGATGAACCTGCTGAGCGCTCCTGGTGCATGGAGGTCCTGGAGGTCCTCGGCTGGGAGCGTCAGGGCTCTGCCCAGCGCTGGGAGGCTGCAGGTCCTGTGGGGTGCAGAGCAGAGGGG